CCCTCCCCCCCAACTCCACAGAGTAGTAACAAGAAGACTGTTTTCTTACCGGAGTAGCAACAACAATTTCAGCCCCTTCCTGAAGGGCTTTTGATTGCTCATACTTGTTTCCCCCACCAAAGACAGCCACGACATGAATGTTATACACTTTACCAAACCGCCGTGCCTCTATGAAGATCTGTTGACAAAGTTCTCTTGTAGGGGCACATATGAGTGCAATGGGACCATCACCTGGCTCCAGCTCTGGCTGATCCATAATATGTACTAGTGCTGGCCAAAGAAATGCTGCCGTTTTACCAGAACCTGTTTTAGCAATGCCGATGATGTCTCGTCCACTCAGTGCTACGGGAATTGCCTGAAATGAGAAGACGCTGATTGCTATCGACATACATTCAGCGACTAGCGTGAGGAAACAGCCGACATTAGAGAGTTTTAGATTTGAGTACAAGTACGAGATTTAACTTAAAGGTTTTGCGCGTGTTCTCAAAAAAAAGACAGCCCGGAAAGCTTCATTTTACCTTTTTTCACTACGGTTATTTATGCTTTTTGCGGTACGGTTATTTATACTGAAGGAGGTTAAGCCTTCTTCCTATAACAAAATTATAAAACTTCTTACATTTGATAACTTGTTTGCGCCACTACGACATTATCGCTAAAACTCGTAGTAGAATGACGACGGCTATCACGTTTTCCCGCCAAAATGACACTGGTTCACGCGTGAGCAATTATTCAGTACTGAGGAAATCTCGCACTCGTAGTCGTCCTCGTCTCAGTCTATTTTGCAATGCCACCACAAGTTTCCCCATGAAATGACATCTGAGAAACGACTACAGAAATTCCATACCGATGACGGATCACTACCCAGATCTGGTTAGTGATTCTGATTATTTAAAACAAATTTCCCATGCGGCACAACCAATCAGAAGCACTAACTGTAATCAGATTTGGATAGTGACGCGTCATCAGCATGGAATTTTTGCATTCGTTTCTCAGATGTCATCTCGCAGGGAAACCAGTGTTGGCGAGTCACGAAATGTCAGCTGTTTTCCAAGGCTAGTCAGGGAAATAAAGCACAGTATTTCCACACAGCTGCAACATACTTTACAGCAGTTATTAACAAAAGATTCACCAAATTATGTTTTCCCACTTTTTTTTGCCAACAAGGGATTTATAGAGGGTGATCCACTACAGAAAACAATGTTTGCAAACTTCCATCCTTCCCTTATGTCGTTTAAAATCTTGAGATGAATCACCTCTAAAGCAACCAACATTTAAACGTTTTGAAAGATATATATCTAGCAAAACTGTACCTTTTGATAATATTAATTTGTGCCAAAGTGTCGCTCATGAAGTTACGTATCAACAGGACGTGTTGACAGTAGTTTTGAGGCAGATAGCTTTTAATGACAACTATTTTACAAATTTATCTCTCTCTTGAAAAATCTCATGCAATGTAACGATTTCTGTTTATCCTTTCGAACTCTACAAACCCTAACCCCCTTAAAGAATGTGGGCTTGATGTGAGTTCTACAAGTGCACACTGTAGAAAAAACATTGAGCTTAACACAGTTACTGTAACATAATGAAACTGTGAGATCTACTATCCTACACTAGCACTGGAAGAAAGCAGCATAGCGGAGTAGTTAGAGCACTGGACTTGCAACATTGCAGGGAGGTCGGCAGCATACATGTTTGACAATGAGGGTTTAATACCTGACACTGGATTGGTGTAGGTTGTGTGTACTCCAGTTTTCTGATTGCACCCATAAGCTGCTCATCAAAACCAAAGTGTGCAAAACTGATGGACGGCCGCACAGGCAACGCTCCAGAAACCTACCAATCAAAGATACAACACCAATAAGTACCAGAAAATCAAGACAGTTTCTCAAACTCCTCCATAGTTCATGAAGAGAAACATTATGGTAAAAGCTTGAGGTATAGATATTTCATTCAAATTACTCCTCGACTATGCATGTATTTACATCCACTATCATGATACAACATATTGCTTCTTTTTGTTTTGTAATGTGTGTCTCCTACGTCCCACCTAGAAATCAGCTTTTGTTGTGTGCAGCTAGACAAGTGCAATTTAAATAAATTTGTTGTTGTTGTTAATATAAAAATAATAATGGGGTGAATAAACATCAGAAATCATTAATCAAATCAGAATGTACAGGCGGTCACTTTTATAGAGGGTTGAAAAGTTACCTTGACTGCTAACTTCTTCCTCAATTCTTGAACCTCATGGGCTGTAAGTTTTGAAATTTCTTCATGTTCAATGTAAAAGTTTTTCTCAAATTGGGGGTAGTCAATCTGCAACAAATGAAAATAGAAAAAGACCATTCACAAAACAGGGTTTGTACACTTTTTCTGCCGTAAAATTCAAGGACTTTTCAAGGACTTTTCAAGGACACATTTTTAAATTTCAAGGACCTTATTTATTACTTTTAACACAGGTTCCAAATAAACTATAACAATATTCTGATAATAATGGCAACCATTTTTTTTATGAAAATTCGTTTGTGAGTACTTATCAAAGAATTACCTTCCATAATGAAAAAGACAATAATAGTGATGATGCTTCTTATCAAATGTTCTTTGATTAAAATTTCAACGACTTTCAAGGACCAAAATGGACCATAGAGAATTTCAAGGACTTTCAAGGCCTTAAAAAAGGACTCTTAAAATTCAGGGGTTTTTAAGAGTTTTCAAGACACGTACGAACCCTGACAAAATCAACAGAGAAGAGTGGATATACTCTGAGTTGACAGTCGAAACTCTCCATACAAACACCTCCACAATACGGAAGTTGGCTGGTCTCTCAGGGAAATTAGCAGGTCGTTTATCCAACAAATCGTCCTGCATTATTTTGCTTTCTTTGACTCATTTTCCAACTAAAAGTAGCCAGCTGATTTTTCTGCAGTTTGCTGCTATACTAATGACCAGCCGGTGGACACCTCTCTATTGCAGACATTTGTTTTGGTCCCAAACGTACAAAACTGCATACAATTTTTTTCCTGCTTTATAATACAGACACCTCTGTAATGAGAACACTAATAATAATTGTCTCTGTCCCTTTGTGTATGTATTTAGGTGGTTTGGCTGTATTCTTGTTGTTGTCATTGCATCAGAGATTGGAGAATTCTCTGTTTACTATGTCGAATTCTCCTGGAAATGTTTGGTAGCCTTATAACTATTTTTCATTCAGACATGGGGCCTCTTTCAAAATATTCTCCTGTGACAACGTTACAGCTTTTTCCTGCTACTAGAATTCTTAATGAAAAAACTGAATTGTTATTCCTTGTCTTATTTTATCAGATAATAGCATTTACAATACAAAGCAAATATCCATCAAGTATCCTCACAACACAATCAGCATATTTACATGTATTCTTATCACCTAAAATGGATTTAGATAATCCAGTGTTTCAATCAAAGCCTTTGTCTCCTAAGAAAAATTGTGGCTAGAAAAAACTAGATTGAATTCTGGATTCATCTAAGAATGGATTTTACCCACAACAGCTACATTTACAGAAAAAATACCTCAAAGTGATCCACAGCCGGGAGAGGTACAATTATCTAAAAAAAAAAAGAAAGAAAGAGTTAAATTGAAAACTACTGGTACTTCATGTAACCATGTAGTTAGCATTCATTGTGAAACAAATACACCCGAAGGCAACCTGAGCAAAATGATTGACCTCAGCAAAAGTATTGTAAAATTACAAGAGCCCTACAAACGCCCAAAGAGCAACCCAATATGATTAGTGGTGGAGAATGCTGGCCACTATTGTCTCATGTTTAAGCTTGCCTACATTACATTAAGCCACAAATCAGGTAATTGAACAATTACTGTGCAAGTGTTTTCCCACAATGAATATTTATTTGCCCCCAAAGTCTAACAAATTTTAATGTTTTTCTTACACCCTATCAGAAGCCCTTTTATACCAAAAACTCATGAGAAAAGCCCAGTTAACCTTCAAAATAACCTGTTAAGCTGGCCAATTCTGGCTTTTGGTAAGCACTCATAATAATTACATATCCTCTTGTGTCTTCTATTGAAATGTATGTGGAGCAGCATACCTGTTTTGCATTATTTTCAAGATAGGGTTAGAAATTTAACTTTGTTACATCTAGAACAGGTTCAGGTACACCTACATGATAAATTTAAGGACATAAGTTCCTAGATAAAACTCCTTCCCAGGGGTCAAAAAGAACTTGAATTCCAGATTGTCCTTTGGGCAAGCAGCTGTCACGTGTTGCTGGCCAAGGATCACTCCTTGCTCAGTTACTTGCCCAGCAAGAAAATCTACACTTTTTGAGCCCTGGCCAATAATGCGATAAACTAATTTCAAGTCACTTAATCCTTAAAGATTGAAATGGATGAAACCAAGTCCTGCTCCCGGCACACGTACTGAATTGACTCACTCACCTTTGATTTTTCTGGAGCAATAGGATTACCATCACTGTCATATTCAAGTTCTTCCTCGTCGTCAGGATAAGCAACTACAGGAGCATTTTTCATGTAGTTGTAATAGGATTCCTGATCATCCTCATCCTCAATATCATCTCTTCGAATCCTGATCAGAACCAAAATAAAAGGGTACAGTAATGCATTCATTTGACCATAATACAGGCAAAAGAATAACAATCAAAAGTGAGAATTAAACAAAACTAAACAACCAACTGTTAGTGCAGCTCTGCCCAGATGTTGGATGCAAAAGAAAAAAATGGCAAGCATACCTTAAATTCATTGAAAATTTACTTTTTCTAGTTGTATTCTTCACTAATGCAAAAGTAAACTCTAATCATTGGATTCTTATACAATAAAACCAAGCATGTAACAAATACAGTAACAAAATACTGTAACATTATTTACTTTTTCCTTTCTTTTTCACTTTTTTCCTTCTCAGACATACTTGCTTCTTTTCGGACCTCATGCTGAAAAGTACAAAATAATGAACAATTACCATGGCATTACAATAACAATTTTTAATGTTACAGCTGTACAGAAGCTAGTATTGTATCATTCAGCTTTACATTCCTGCGTGATTCTTGGCCAGCCCAGAAGAGTCCAGTAATTAGCTATAATATATTGCTCTAACACAGATAAGTATATTTTGAATGATTATCATAATAATTTTTATTATTATTATAAGTGTTCTTTAAAATTAAGTGACACTCAGAGAGTCATAATAATTTACCATAATAATTATAACATATTTATAATAAGCATTATAAATTATAAGTAAATCATAAATTATTTAAAATTTACTATAATTATTGTAATAAATTATTACCAAATCCCCAGCTACCAGCTCTTAAGAGCATAATCAGGCACAGCTAGATAAGGGACTGAGCACTACATTCAAGCCATTAATTCAGGGTAGAAGCCTGATACCAGTATGTCACAACAACGTTCTCTTGTTTCCTTCTCTGATTGCTCACTCTCTGTGACTCAAGTTGATTCAGTGTCATGAAATGGATGGATTCCTTTATACACTTAAAAGAGTCATGTCAGCTTTCCTTTATAATACCTCAATTCCTGCCATAAATTTATCCAACTCATCTTCTTCATCATCATCATCATCATCTGCTACGTGCGGATAGGATGGTCCAGATTCATCTTCATCCTCATCATCAATAAACTTTGATTCATCATCTTCATTGTCACTATCCACAAAGGCCCTGCAAATCATATAATGCATTTTAACATAAATGGCAGTCAGAGAACCTTCCTATAATAAACCCCAGCCCTCCAAATAATAAGAAACCTTACGATCAGGCAATGGCAAGGCAATGAGAATGCCGAAAAACAATACTGTAGGTTTGATAAGCACAGGTAACACACTGTTTTGCTTTTGTCTATGCCATCACTGCACAATTACAATATGAAGATGCCTAATTTCACATTTTATGGAGG